GCCGCGACCGTAAAAAACAGGCGACGGGATGCGCTATGCCTCCTCTCGCCGACGCTGCACTTCCTCCTCCGTTGGTGGCGGCGGCTTGGCCTCAGGAAGGGCACTGAAGTCGTCGATGTGAACGGTGGTGTGTCCGTCTGGAAGATGGTACGAGTAGGGGCCACGATGGCGACGGGCGCGGACGCGGTTCTCTAAAGCGTGGCCCTGCAGCGTCTCCGGCTCTTCCTCCCCAACCGGCGCCTGGTCCTGCTGTGCCAAAGCGTTGCTGCGAAGCTGCGAATGGGGCCGGACGATAGGCATGCCTCCCAGAGGCCTGCGCATACAGTGAAAGCAAAACCAAACGCATGCCACAAACAATGAGAGGGCCAACATGCCGAGACCAACGAGGAGGATCAGAATCCACTTCAACCTACCCGCCGACTGATCGTCCTCGCTGTGGTTGCCGGAACCAATCACGCTCACCATCACGCGTTCCTCAGGCAGATGTATGTGCTGCCGCTATCGCCGCGCGGCTTCCAGCTCCCACACAACAACCCGCTATGTTTGTTGTGGCAGCGCCACACCAGCGCACACGGCAAAAATGCGTAAGATCGCCTACACGTTTGCCTCTCCTCAGCGGGTTTGTGCCTTTATGTTGACCGCGCGCCCTACCGTTACTCGAAACAACTAACTCAACAAAGCCAGTCAAGAAATTCCTCCGCAACCACAAAAAAAGGAGGAGCAAAAATAAACAAACAAACAGAGTCACCAGAAAAGGCAATAAATCATCCACAACACACTGGATGATTCAAACCCATCCCACAAATACGTATATATTTAAGAACAAAAAAGGCAAACAGATAACCCAACCACATTGCAACCTTGTTCGCCATGCACAAAGACAAACTGGGAAAAGGCAACAACAATGGGGGGAATCCGATGCTAAGAGGCGCAATAAAAAAGGCACGCGTGCGTGAAGATCGCGCAGTTACGGACAGGAGCGCCGCGGCCCGTCTGTGCACAAACAGGAACAAGAAGAAATAGAGTGATAGTTGTGCTTGCCACAAATGTTGCCAGCAATATGTTTCGTAACAAGACCCTCACACCGTGGTGCCCGCCTACGAAACGAAGCACGCCGAGACGCCCTCCGCACAGCACCACCCAAAGAAGAAGTGCAGTCAAGACGCCCAAAAAATAAGATTCACAAAACAATTAGAAAATAAATGCGGACATCGCCAGCAAGGTGCCCCGCCATGGAAGTAGCGTCACAGGCGGGCAGGGGAGACCTTGAGGCTTTCCGCCGCCTTAAGAAGAAACTCACGGCATTTGACAAGCTGTGCGACAGTGACGTACTCATTCGCACAGTGTGTAGCCCCGCCATGAGGGCCACACACCACGGTTGGGACGCCTGCAATGCCGCTGTAATGCCCTGCCTCTGTGGTAGGCGCAATTTTCTCGACAGTGTGATGGTTCGTAAGGGCGCGCGCCAGCTTGGTGATGGGCGCCTTCTCGCTGCCTTCGAAGGGCGGGGCCGCCTCCACCGGCGTGATCTCAATCCTGGCGTCCTCGACCTCCGCCTTCATGGCTGGCAGCAGCTCCGTTTCCACGTACTACCGCACCTGCTGCTCCATCGTGGCAAGGGGCTCGCGTGGAAGGTTACGGAACTCGAAGCCGATTTCGCACTGCACGGGCACAGTGTTCATGGCGTTGCCGCCGTTGATGAGGTTCGTCGAGATCGTTGAGAAAGGCACCATGAAGTCCTTTTCGTGACTGCCTCGCCGGCGGTACTCCTCCGCAATCTCGCGCAGCCTCACAACGAGCTTCGCGGCGTAGTCAATGGCGTTGCAGCTTTCGCTGGCCAGCGCGAGCGACGAGTGTGCCGACTTGCCGTGCACGCACACACGAAAGCGGTAGGCGCCCTGTGACCGGTCACCACCCTCATCTCCGTCGGCTCTCCAATGATGCAGCCGTCCGCCTTGATGTTGTGGTCCCGCAGGAATTCTGCCAGCACCTTCCCACTGAGGCAGCCCACCTCCTCATCGTACGTCAATGCGTAGTGGATCTGCTTCGCACGCTTCATCTTCAGCAGCTCGGGGGCCAGCGACATGCACACGGCGATGAAACCTTTCATGTCGGACGTGCCGCGCCCGTACAACTTCCCGTCCTTCTCCGTCAGTGTAAACGGGTCGCTGCCCCACTTCTGCCCGTCCACCGGCACCACGTCGCTGTGGCCAGAGAAAATGATGCCGCCGTCCGTCACGCCGCCCTCGCCCGGCAGCGTCGCCCACAGGTTCGCCTTCGTCTTCTCGAGGTTGTGGACCAGCGTGCACTTGACACCGAGCCCCTCCAGGTAGTCCTTGCAGTAGTGGATGAGCTCGAGGTTCGAGTTGCGGCTCGTGGTGTCAAAGGCCACCAGCTTCGCCAACCACTGCGTGTAGTCCATAGACCGCGCCGCCATTGCAAGAATAAGATGCTTAAGTTGTTCTGAGGGGGACGAAAGAGACGGGCTCAAAAGAGGAAGAGGACACCGTGGTGACGGCGCGGAAAACAAGATATGTGTACATGAGGGTCGCGCAGTAGCGAGGCAGTTCGCGTTTGGGGCACGCCTTTTTTTCTTTTTGAATTATTTGTGAACAGACACAGAGGGGTAGTGATAGTGGCACGCGTGACGCATATTTGCTCTGAGCTCTTTTCGATTGGGGTGATGATGCCTCTTTCTGCCGTCCAGACTCACGGTGCCGCTGTGCAGGGACGGTGGGTCTGTGCGTGCGGCGTGAAAAAGAGAGGCGGAACGTGGCGCCTGGCTGCGGCTGCGGCTGCGACCCTCCTATTCCTACGGAGAGAGAGAGTGAGAGAGAAGGCAGCAATATGAAATAAAACGACAGATGGTCGCGCACCATGCCCACCACCCCCGCACAGAGCAGGTGGAATGCGGTGCCCATACGCCCCCAAACAAGTGGGTGCAAAAGACGCGTGAGACCGACGCCATCGGAACCTCTGTTGAGGGCTGACGAAGCGCCACTCTGCAGGACCCGTAGCTGCTACGCCGCCTCCTTGTGGAGGGTGCGAGGGCGGGAAGAAACAAACAAAGAAACCAAAAAAGAAAAAAAATTACACCTGTCGCCTCCTCCATTGCGATGTCGTCCGAGACAAAAAAAAATTAAGTTAATACATAAGATAGAAAC